CTGACTTCAGGGCTGGTGCTGTATCCACTGTGCCACCTAACTGCCCCACAGTCTATTTTTTAAGGTGTTATTTTCTTCAGTATTTTTTTGGGGGGGGTCTCCTTTAGCAACCTGTTGACTACTTTTTCATGATTTTCTTGCATCACTCTCATTTCTCTTCCCAGTTTTTCCTCTACTTCTCTTACTTGCTTTTCAAAATCCCTTTTCAGCTCTTCCATGGCCTGGGACTGATTCATATTTTTCTTGGAGGCTTTGGATGTAGGAGCTTTGACTTTGTTGGCCTTTTCTGGTTGTATGTTTTGATCATCTTTGTCACCAAACAAAGATTCTACGATCTGACTTTTTTTGCACAGTTTGCTCATGTTCCCAGCCAATTACTTGAGTTTTAAATGCTTTGTTAAGGTAGGGGTCTCCTTCTAGTATGGAGAATGTACTGTCCCAAGCTTCGGGGGTTTTGTGCAGCTGTTTTCAGAAACACTTCTAGGGACATGTAAATTTTCAGTTCTTCTAAGGTGGTATGATGAGGGGCAAGGTGTTTACTCCTTTCCTGGCCTGTGCTCCGCCACGCTAGCCCTCCTCCTTGCTCCAAGACAGCCACCCAGAACTGCAACCCAGATCCAAGCATGAGCAAAGCAAGAGAATCCTGCCTCAGCACTAGCAAAGAGATCCCTGCAATTCCCCTCTGGTCAGCCACTGGATCCCCCCTGCATGTGTGGGCTGAGAGTTTTGGAAGCAACCGCTGCCCCGGGGCTTCGCTGGGTACTGGGGCTGGGACTGAGCTTCTCTCTCACTGTGGTTACAGACTTCCTACTGACCTTCTAAGTTGTCTTTGGCATTTGTGCTTTGAGAAGTCTGGAAATTGCCACAGCTGCCCATGATTCAGTCCTCTGAGGCCTGCTCCAGGTTTGCTGAGGCCTGGTCTTTGCCTGTGTACCCATGCTGAACGGCATTCCTCTCCCAGCCTGGCATGATAGACCTTTTCAATCAACCATCCATCTTGGGCTGGAAATTTGTTTCACTCTGTCTTTTTGTGGGTTCTGCTGTTGTAGAATTTGTTTAGAGCCATTTTTTACAGGTATTTGGCAGAGTTTGGGGGAGAACTCAAGCAAGTCACTGCTTTCCCTCTGCCACCTTGGCTCTGCCCCAGGGTTGCTCTTCTTTACACGGGAGGATCTCCATATCCCAATTGGGAGATTGTGTTGACAGCAGGTGGTAGGTGATGCCTTTTGCCGGTAGAGATAGAAGTGATTGCTTTGGATCATTTATATGACCATTGTCTTGGTTCAGGCCCATCATCACCTTTCATTTAGACTAATGTAAAAGCTTTCTCTTTATTTTTCTTCTATTTATTTTTTATTCTGAACTTAACAAAAACCAAGTTAAATGGATATTCCGTCCATAATGAAAATTTATATTGGAAAAGAGAGAAAATTGTACATAAAATTGTCAGTTTCTCAGCTAGAACTTGGTTTTCTTTTTAAGTGTGTAATAAATTCAATATAAACTTTTGAATTCGTAATGTTTTTTGTGATTTCTTCTCATCTTCCTTCTGTTCTTCTTCATTTTTGGGGAGAAGGTTCCTATTCTTAGCCCCACATTCCCTTTGATGCTCCCCCCCAAAAAAGACAAACAAAACTCTTGTAACAAATATGCAAAATCAAGCAAAACAAATTCCAATATTGACTATATCCTAAAAACGTACGTCTCACTCTGCAACTTGAGTCCATCTCACAGGAAGTAGGTAGGATATATTTCATTAACAATAATCTGGAAGTGTGATTGGTAATTAAATTGATCAAAGTTCTTAAGTATTTTAAAATAGTTTTTCTTCACATTGTTTTTATTATAGTATTAATTTTTCTCTTGGTTCTATTAACTTTGTATCAGTTCATATAAGTCTTCCCATGTTTCTCTGAAACCATCTTTTTCTTAAATTTCTTATGATTCAATAGTATTCCATTTTATTCATCTACATTTACATTCAGTCATTCCCCAATTGATGGGTACCTTCCAAGTTTCTTTTTATTTTGCATGGGACAGAAACATCACAGAATTTAAACTCAGAACATTTTCAGGTCTTTGGTAATTAAAAGGTAGTATCACCTGGTTTGTTTTGATATTGTTTAGAAGCAGTAATCTATCTGATTTTATTCATTTCCCTTATCATGTTTTAAGTTTAAGTACTGTGAATGAAAGTTTGTTATAAGAATCTCCTTCCCCCTCTAGGTTTGTGGGCTACTTTTACCTTTTTTTTTTTAATGGTAATGCTAACTGTACTAATTGATAGCCTTCTGGTCCAATCTAGCTCGTTACACACTGGATGTACACAATTGGTTGTTGGGACAAAAATGAGAACATTTAAATAGCATAGCTCTCACTAATAATGCTGTGAGCTATGTAGTGTAGAGACTTCCCTTCAAGAGAAGATCATGACTGTTTTGTATAACGTGTTTGGAACTCAACAGGAAGGGTTTTTTGTTGTTATTTTAAGCAAACAAACAAAAAAGATAGATGGAGTCAGATTGAAGAGGAATTTAAATGTCAGGCTTACTAGAACATTTTGTTTTTTGTCCTAGAAGCAACAGGGAGTTACTAAAGACTTGTGCAGAGGATATAAAACTGGTGTATATTGGCAGCTGTGTAGAAGAGAGAGGTTAGTTTCTAGAAGCAGGTAGAAATTCCTGCAGTCAACCCTGACAATTACTTTCATTCATAGCACTTGATGGGGGAAATGAATAAAAACAGATGACTACTGCTTTCAAATAATTTCACAACATTCCAGATGATACTACTTGTCTATGCTTATAAATTCCATCAGTGAATCAGGACCAGAAATGGATTGACTAATGTTCGTTTAATCACCAACAGCCTGAAGATGTTCTGACTTTTTATTCTGTAATGTTTCTAAATCTGTGTCTATTGAGTAGGAGCAGCAAAGGAAGAGGTCTTGACAGAAGAGAAGTGCTTTATGCTTGATGTTCAGATTAAATGGTAGATTCCCTAAGCCCATAGATATCAAATACGTGGCCTGCATGTGGCCCACAACAATTCTGGGTGCAGCCAAAACCAGAATAAAATGCAACTGGGAAGTATTTAACAAAAATAAATAAAAACACAATAAAATGTAGATAATATTACACTTAAAAACTACCTTAGTATGCAGCCTGAAAGGGTTCTCACATTCAGTTTAGTGGCCGCTGTGAGTTTGACACCACTTTTGTTGTTTCTGTTGTTGTTGACTTGTTTTAATCATTTCTGATGCTTCGTGATTTATGCTTTAGTTCTTTCATCGGTCACACAAGAACTCAGTGGCTGCTAAGGCCCCTTTCATCTCTACATTGATTATTCTATGATTGTAATGTATAACAACCACAGGGAGTGCAATTTTTAAATATTATCTAGACTGTATAAACCTTGTCCTGGTTTTTGTTTAGTATTACCTCATTCTGAGTAGAAGTGACCTTTTTCTGTTTTTCTGTCCTTTAATATCTCATAGCACTTTCATTTGCCCAACTTTGTTCAATAATCCTCTGATTATCATTGTCAACTAAGGGATATAATAGGGAGATGTGTGCTTAACAAAGGTCTCTGCCACTGTCATGGAGAGCACCCAGTTGTTCAGTCGTGTCCGACTTGTGTCTGACTCACATCTGACTCTTTGTGACCCCGTTTGGGATTTTCTTGGTGAAGATACTGGAGGGGTTTGCCATTTCCTTCTCCAGCTCATTTCGCAGATGAGGAAACTGAAGTAAACAGGGTTAAGTGACTTGCCCAGGGTCACCCAACTAGTGAGTATCTGATCCTGATTTGAACTCAGGAAGATACTTTTTCTGATTCCAGGCCCAGCACTCAATCCACTTTGCCCCCTAGCTGCTCCAGAACATCTAGTACAGATTTCAGATAGAAAAAGGACTCTATTGGTAGTAAGGTTCTCCGCTTGTTACTGTTTTGAGATGGCTTTGTGCTGATTGCATCAAGCTCTGGGGCCTCCAGAGCCTCTTCAGTGAGATCCATGAGATTGGACTAATAATCCCCATAGGAAATACCAAATGGCTGAAGAATATCTATTGCTTATATTACGAGCTGCATTTTGATAGGCCACCTATTGAGTTAGTCCATCAGTACTTACATTTTAGACAAACAATACTGAAAGTTAGTGAGGTTCACTCAGAATTGAACCAATGGAAGAGAAGGCTGTACAATTTGAGAATTTGTACTTTCAATCATCCCTGGATGCTCTTTGATTCAAAACCCCATGTTTTTAACACCAGTATTCTTCTGGTATTGTTATTTATATGGTTGCAGTTCAGTTTCTAAATAGTCAAATGGGGGCAGCTAAGTGACTCAGTGGATAGAGTCCCAGCTGTGGAATCAGGAGGACCAGAGTTCAAATGTGGCTTCAGACACTTGACACTTACTACCTGCATGACCCTGGCAAGTCACTTAATTGCCTCCCAAAAAGCAAAAACAAAACAAGAATCAAATGGCAGGTGGCCCAAAGGAAAATAAAACAATTTGTGTTGGATGTCAGTAGGCTGTAGCATATTGCCAGTGATTGCTTTTATGTATTAGAAGTGGCATAAAAGTTATTATCAAGGAAGTGTATGATCAGTAAAGGAGATAAATCCACAATAGATATTGCTAAGGCTTGATAGCAATGGAATATTAAAAAACCTAAAGAAAAGTCTTCAGGGTATAGAGGAGTTCATCTGTGGAAGACATCTGGACACAACTTACATAGGTTACAAATGGAACTGGTGCAGGGAATGCCCCCTTCAGTGAATTTTATAGATTTATTGATGTCTTGAAGAATCATAGTCATTTGAAGATGTATCTGGTTCCTACTTGATTTTAAAGCTTTTTAAGGAGCTATTTTTGTTATTATTGATAATTTTTGTTATCTCCAGTGCCTAGCACAGGTTCTCCTCACATAGTAGGTGCTTAATAAATTTGTTGAATTGAAATGATTTAGACCTTTTCATTTCTTCGTTTTAATACAGGAAGCCCGAGTTTCCTTTATGCAGTGGCTTGCGAGAAATGTGAGTCCTGAAGGAGTAATGACATTCAGCAAGTTGAACCTTAAATTTGTTTCATCCTATAAACCAGAATTGGAAGTAACTCCATCTCATATGCCAGTTATCACTGCAACAGAGGAATTTGCCCCAGAGCATTTTAACCTGGAGATTTATCGACAAAATTTGCAGACAAAGCAACTAGGAAAAATAATTCTGTTTGCTGAAGTGACGTCATCCACAATGAGTCTTCTAGATGGGTAAGCTTTTGGACAAAAGTTCATTAGAAAAGAATCTGAATAAAGATTTATATAGAATGATGTTGATTAGTGCTTTCAACTAAGTTTTTAAACAAATGATTTGTAGAACAAGGAAAGAGACCCCCCCATTTTAGGAGAATGTGGTAGTGATTGGAAAATTAAGTTTCATCTTAAGGCTTTAACAAGGTTTATATTTTTAAGAACTGGTGGTTGTGGATCTGGTGACTGTCTCTTTAAATTAAGCTTCTTAGAATGGTCTCTGAAAAAATGAATTACTGTCAAAGAAAAATCTAAGAAGTAGGGTTTACTCTCTAGGCTATTTTTTCTCCTTTTGTGCTGTCTTACTTTGAGATATTTTGCAGAAATATTTAGAATGGCACATTTGTGTGACATCTAAGATATGTTTAAGCAAGATAAAAGCAGAATTTTGCATTTTTAAACCTGTTTTCTCGTATATTATTCTCTAATTTTCATTTTTTAAATACTCTATAATCATTTTTGGATATTTGAACACTTACGTTCACTGCCAGGTTACTCTTCACAACTCCCTCTTTCCTAGACTTTGGTTAGAGGTTAAAAATATAAAACAGATGAAAAGAAATTCTTTTTTTACCCAAATTAATCAGCAAAACTTGCTGCTGCATGATGACAAGTATTAAGTGTGAGCCTGGCTGAAGCACTGTTAGTTCAGGTTCTATGTTGGGATGAAATCAGGCACTTGTAGGTCATTCAACAGTATTTAGTAAGAATACAGTTCGAATGAGTGAGATATGGCCTCCTTCACTTCTTATGAAATTGAGACAGGTTAGCAGGTCAGGATATGGTGACTAGCACAATTTTAGTACAACTACTGCCAAGTCTAAAGGGTACCAACATCTCTCTCCCCCAACCCTGCCCATGTATGGGTCTTTTTATGCCCTCTGGTCACCACAAAGCCGTGTCGCTTTGGCCAGAGGCTACCAGGAAGCTGAGTCAATAAAGAGAGACAGATCCTTGGGACATGTGTCACTTTTTAGGGAAAAACTAGCCTAAATCATATACCAGGAGTACCAGGGGAGAAGGAAGAGGAAAACTGGTAAAGGTTGGTCCTATCACAATGAGATATAATAATTTAGTGGGCTTCAACAATAGTGTAATGGTGGTCCGGCACATGGGCAGACCCTCTCAGCTTGCTAAAATGACATTTACACTTGTAAGACACATTTCTGATTGTGATGACATATGAGAGAAGTACATTTGTGTGTCTTGTAGACATTTTTAAACTCAACGTGTCCAAAACTAAACTCATTATCTTCCTCCTATCTCGCCCCCAAATGCTACCCTCTTCCTGACTTCCCTACTGCTTTCAAGGGCACCACTGTTCTCCCAGTCATTCAGGCTTCCAACCTAGCTGTTGTCCTTGACCCCTCACTCTCTTTTACCACGCCCCATCCAATTAATTGCTAAGTCCTGTCATTTCTGCCTTTGTAACATCTCTTGTATATGCCCCCTTCTTTCCTCTGACCCTAGTATTACCCTGATGCAGACCCTCATCACTTCATGTAGCAGTATCCTGTTAATAGGTCTCCCGGCCTCAAGTTTCCCCCCACTCCAATTCTTCTTCCACTCAGCTGTCAAATTGATCTTCCTAAAAGCGCAAGTCTGCCTCTCCTAACCCCCTATTAAGTGAACTCCATTGGCTTCCTGTAACCTCTAGAATCAAATAGAAAGTCCTTTGTCTTTTAAAACCCTTCACAACCTTGCTCCTTCCTACCTTTTCATTCTTTTTACAGTTTACTCCCTCTATGTTGAGTGATCCAGTGACGCTGGCAATCCAGCGTTTTTGGATTTCTCTTCTCTATCTCTGCCTCCTACTTTCCTTCTAGTCTTGCCTGAAGTCCCACTGCCTTTAGCAGTTTTCCTTAATCTTGGTGCCTTCTCCCTGAGATGATCTCCAGTCTATCCTGTATATATCTTATTTGTACATAATTGTTTATATGTTGTCTTCCTTATTAGACTGTGAGCTCATTGAGAGGAGGGGACTGTCTTTTCCCCTTCTTTGTATCCCCATTGCTTAGCATAATCAATGCTTAAGAATTCTTGTTGACTGACTGACTGATGTTATATGCTTAAATAGAACTGGGAAGCTTAGTCTCTGGCTCCTAAAAATAGGAGAATACCAGAAAAGTGGGGGAATACCAGTGGTGGGAACCTGAGTCACTGAAGTAGAAAAAAGAAACCCATAGACTCCTTGGGGAACTTTGGAGCCTCTTGGGAGAAATAGCAGGACTGGCTTTGGGCCAGAACATCAATGTTAAAATAGAATTATAGATATAGTAGAATGTGTTGATAAGAAAAACATTTGCTCTTACATTAGTGCAAAAGTCTAAAGATCGTATGCCTCAAAATACAATTTGATCAAGTGTTTTCAGGTGGAAATATACTCTTATGGGACTACCCAAGTTTGAATGGGTATGTGTTGGAGTGTGTACATACTATATACTTTGCTGAAGAGACTTTTAAAAGAGTAATAAGTTTTAGAATTAATCATATGTTTACTGTAAGATGATGTCATAACTGGTATTTTCTTGGCTACCATACTCCATTTGTTGAAATGGGATTTAATATGGTTTTAGCTTATGCCATGTGTGTTCATAGCTTTGATATTTATTGTTTTGGGAAAATCTTGGGAAGGAATCCAGGTTAGTTAAAATTTTTGCTTAACTGAGTTAATTTATACCTCTCAAGTGATCAATCTTTTTTTTATTGCTTTCCAAATTCTCCAGTTTATGATCTAATGCAAATGAATGAAAGGTGATAATTTACATGGGTAAATCACTATCACTGACCTTGACAGCAAAAGTCAAACCCTTTTCTCTACACCATTACAGAAGGCCTTCCTTTGTATAGAAGCAATAATTAACTTTTTATTTTCTGTGATAATAATAGAAATTGTAGTAAAGACTGCACCTGTGATTTAGTTGGTATAGGGAACACCTTGGTGTGGAAACTCCCACCAGCAATACAGGTTGGTACCTTCTCTGCAATTTATAGTCTTATAAGCACCTATTGGTAAAATGACTAGGGTCACATATGTGTCAGAGACTGGACTTGAACCCTTCCTGGTTTCCAGACCATCTTCCATTATGCTATGCTACCTCTTTTGTTAATATTATTGATGTTCATATCAATTAGTCAATCACTAAACACTTAATAAGCACCTATTATGTGCCAGGTACAATGCTAAGTACTGGGGATACAAAAAGAGGCAAAAGACAGACCTTGCCTTCAAGTAGTTTACAATCTAATGGAGGAGACAACATGCAAAAAAATATACATAAAGCAAGCTATATACAGGATAAATAGGAAATAATTAAGAGAAGAGAAGGATTGGGAAAGGCTTCTGGTAAAAGATAAAGTTTTAGTTGGGAGAAGTCAGTACACAGAGCTGAGGAGGGAACATTCCAGGCACAGGAGAGAGCCAGAGAAAATGCCCAGAGCTGAGAGAGGAAGTGTCAAAGCAGAGAAGAGGGAGTATGTGAGAGATGCCACAGAGATGAAATCTACAGGCCTTGGCAATGAGGGGAGAGAGAGAGTGAGGAATCCAGGATAACTCCTAGAGTGCAAGCCTGAGGGCCTGGGAGGATGGTATTGCCTTCTACAGTAATAGGGAAATTAGGAGGTAAGGAAGATTTAGAGGGAAAGAGTTCTGTTTTGGACATGTCGAGTTTAGGATGTTTACTGTACATCCAGTTTAAGATGTCTGAAAGGCAATTGGAGATGTGAGACTGGAGATCTGCAGAGAGGTAGGGGCAAGAAAGGTAGATTTGAGAATAATCAGCATAGAGATGGTAATTCAATGGTTCATTGGAGCTGATGAGATCATCCAGTAAAATAGTGTAGAAGGAGAAGTGAGGAGGGCCTCAGACAGAACCATGAGGAATGTCTGTGGTTAGAGGGCATGATCTGGATGAGGTTCTAGCCTAGGAGGCTGAGTGGTGGTCAGATAGGTGGGAGGTGGGATGTGGGAGGAGAACCAGGAGATAGTGGTATTCTGAAAAATTAGAGAAGAAAGTATCAAGGAGGAGAGAGTGATCAACAGTGTCAAAGGCTGCAGAGAATGAGGATTGAGAAAAGGCTACTCGATTTGGCAACCAAAAGATTATTGCTAACTTTGAACAGAGCAGTTTCGGTAGAATGATAAGGTAGAATGACAGATTGTAAGGAGTTAGAGGAGAGAAAATTGAGGCGCCTATCATAGACAGCCTTTTAGAAGAGTTTAGCTATAAGGGGCAGGAGAGATATAAGATGATATTTAGTGGAGATGGATGGATCAAGTGAGAATTTTTTCAAGATAGGGGAGATATGGGAATGTTAGTAGGTAGTAGGGAATGCACCAGTAGACAGGGAGAGATGAAAAATAAGTGATGGACTTGGGATGGCAGAATGGGTATTCTGTTGGAGGAGATGGAATGAAATGGAATTACTTGGACAAGTAAAGAAGGAGTAAGGACACTTCATCATGTGAGACAGGGGTAAAGGAGGAGATAGTGGGAGAAGGCATTTGAATGATAGGAGATGAGGAAGAGGGTAGAAGATTGAGCTTATAGTGAATAACTTCAATTTTTCCTGTGAAATTTGAGACAAGGATTTCAGCTGAGAGGGTGGAGGGAAGGGAAGCCAAATAAGCCAAGTAGTAGAATGCTTACTATATATGGAATTATTCCCACTGTACTATTTAATGATACTTTAGCTTATTACCCATTTCCAATGCTTAGCACAATGCCTGACAAATAGTAAGTGCTTAATGATTGTTGACTTGATTACCCCAAGTTCAGCACACTAAGTAGGGTATATGTAAAGCTTTAGAAATAATACACTTAGTTTTTCTTTTCTTCCTTCATATATGTAGCTTTTCTTATCATCAGAAGACATTCCTTTATGTGTAGAAGTAAACATGATGGGTGTAACCTGAGTCTTACATAGGATATCCTTGTGAGTTTGTTAAACTCACATACATT